CCAAGGGGGTCCGCGTCTGGACGCCCAAGGCGAAGGAGGCGCGGAGGAAGTAGAGTACATAGCCGCACGTCGGGATCCGCCTGGCATGCGGCACCAGATGCGAATCAATGATACCCTTGTTTGGATTACGAACGATTGAACATGATGTGCGCGGTCAAGGTTCGTTCCCATGGCGGTTTTCTGAATGGCTGCCGACCGCTGCAGCGTAGACCTGAGGGAAATCATGCCATCTACTGCAGGGGGCAGTAAAGAAACGACTACAAAGTCGGAAGGTCATCCTGTCCTTCTCATGCGCCATGTGTTTTCACACGGCAATGGTGTCAAGGAGGACGTATTGTATCGCAAATCCATGTTCCGTGACCTCAATCTGGGCTTATCCGCAGACTATCCATCTTGCGCTACCTCCAACGTCAAGTATCTAGCCTCGGGCCGCAGCGGTTCCTCTGACGAGGAGCCAGATCTCAGCAACGAACCCAAGACCGAGGAGTACCACCTCCACGCCGGCTGGCAACATCAAGTACACGGAAAGGTGCACAGCGGCGTAGACTGACGATCGGAGACCGCTATGCAGGCTACCATCCAACACGCTTCGATTGAGACATGGATTTCTAATACGCATCTGCCGACCGCTTGCTTCCCGTCGTCGAGGGTCTATCGGCGGTGTCGCAGTCCTTGCTAGCATCGCCGCCCACGGTGGCCGAGTGACTAGTGCTGACTTTTGTTGTGTACTCGAGAAAGGCGGACGGCTTGGTAGAACCACAAGAGACGTGGATGAAGGATCCTGGCCTGTTTGCAGAATAGACAAGGGCAAAATAGTCTACTCGAAGGTCCAAGTTCTCAAAAGTCACACCCGTCCGGGGTCCTGAAACCACCAAGCGTCTACAGGACCCGGCATGTCCAGTACAACGCGGATGGCGGACTAGAGGGTTTCTACTTTAGTCAGAGTTCAGGGCAGAGGCCACACTGGGACTTACCTTCTGAAGCACAAAATATGCTGCGTTTATCACCGCAAGTTGCCATGCCGTGAAGATGGATTTCAGCAGAAACGCCTTGAGGCAGCTCCTTGAGGAAGTGGCTGCGAACCACCACGCCCCGACAGACCGCAGGCTCCGGGATCACGCGCGTCGCGCCGAACACGGTTGCGTCGTCGATCCGCTGGTCAGCTAGCAGCCCGAGCTGGCGGACCTTCCACTGCCACGTCTTTCCACCAAGTCTAAGCTTGTCGGTCGGCACAGTCTGCAGCATGCGCTTAAAAAGCAGTCTCGCACTTCTGCCAACATCTCGCAGGTTGTCCTTGTCGAGTCGCGTCCCCAATTCTGTGCTGAGGATGTCATGCGACAACCATTTGACGTGTACCTTGAGCTGTGCAGGCGGGCCCGCAAGGTACATAGTGTCAAGCTCGAGTTCGCCAGCGTCAACAATGAGCAGGGTGATGCGATGCATGCATTCGTGGCAGTCGTGCATACATGCTTCGATGATGCGATATAGCTCCTGAGCAAAATATGTTTGAGGCAGGTCTTTAGGGCCCAGAGCCTTGGCTTTGCCGAACCGTATGGCCTCTTCAGCCCAGACTTCGCGTACAAGCCCCTGCTTGTGCAGCAGTTTCCAGTACGTCTTGGGGAGGTACATTCCTCGCAATCCAAGGCCTTGGATTGTTAGTTCGAGTTCGGGATACTACGAAGAGTCAGGGCCATCATGCTGTAGAGAAGGAAGAGCAATGATGGTCTTACCTCCGTTCTCTGCTCGTTGTCAAAGAACCACCGGTTGGATACTTCTGTATGAGGGCCGCCTTCAAACGGGTTGCAACATGAAAAAGTCGTGTTCCTATCCGCCCATGTTAACGTCGGCGTGCTCTGAAGTCTCTAACAGCAGCATGTCGCTGAGGTTGTCAACCATCCTCTGGTCGCTTTTCAATACTTTGTGCCCAGATACTAGCGATGGTTTTCTGCTTCCTCTGTCGCAGTAGCCACCTGCCGGCGATCTCGGTTCGTGCTGCCGTCTGCAAAGTCATAGCCGTACCTCATCTGCTTGCCACTGATGCTGACAGAGTTTCGGGTAGAATGGCTGAGAAGTAAGCCTTTGAGGTATAGCTTGCCATGATATTTGGGCTCCAACAAGAGTTTGCCACGGGACGTCGTGATTGTCATCTGCGGATTTGGCTCCTGCAGAAAGAGCGCCGTGGACGTCCAGCTCTCGAACACGGCTTTCGTGATAGGGACATGCTGGGTGTTCTGCTTCGTTTGATCGTCGGTTTTGCTCCTAGCCCCAAGCAGGAACTGCACATCTTCATGGGGCGCGGCTACACATGTAGAATGAATCTGCTTTAGAGCCCTAGAAGGGGGCATGCTCTGCTGAAGACGGCTTTTGGGTATCCGCTCGACCTTCACACACAGTTTAATGAGACTGTTCAAGTAGAAAGTCCACGTGCAACCCCTAGAGACGCATTGCACACTGTGGTTGTTGTCTGGTCTCATCATGGAGAGGGCCGCGAGCTTCATCCCCTCTCCGTGGGTGCCTGCTTGGTTCGCAGCGTGTCTCTTACTGGTGCCACCCATCTCCAGATGCTCAAGTTGGAGGGTGCTCTTGCGGTTCGTGAGTTCAACTGTGCCTTGTCCGTTTTCCCCTTTGTACCGAATGAAACCAAAAACCTCCGGTGCGCCTCGTGAGCCTTGCGCAGGCTTGGTGGCCTTGTATAAGATCTCGACTTCCAAGTCATTTGTCATTATCTCGCGGGTGACAGAGTTCATGAACTGCTGCGGGTTGAGGCCACTGGCTCTGATCACCTCGTTTCGCCTAGCGTCTGCATTTAGCTTGAGCTTCTCTGCCTGCAGTAGCCATGATTACCAGTTCTGCACCAGCTCTCTGAACGCTTCTTGGCCGCTGAATTGCGTATAGGTCGACCGAATGTTGAGATCCAAAATTTTCGAGCGTTTAACATTGGCCAGAGTCCATGCTATCTCCTTGCGGGTTTTGGATTTGGGTGCCATGACCGATGATTGTTTGAGTTGTCAGTGCCGCTGGGACGTGATATTGTGGACTTGCTTCAAATGACAGTCAAAGTGTCGACAGATGAAAGCCAGCGCATGGTTTCTATGCCAAACAATGGCGATCGTGAGGCGGCTGAGCATGTGATATACAGGTCGGCCATCATGTAAAAACAAGCACGAAATGGACAAGATGATGCTAGAAGCCAGCGCAAGCTTCGTGAGGCTGGGGAGGTGCAGCGAGCTTCTTTCTGGATTCTTTTGTAGCTCAATATTTTTCTTTCATGTCTTGCCTGGGAAGTTCCCACCGCAGTCAACGTTCGGCCGCCAGAGAATCCGGTCGAGAGTCATCCAGTTGGTGGCTATCGTGGCTGACATAGAGGACTAGAGACACGATGTCAAAGCAGCTCAGGAAATGGACGCCCTGGAATGAGCAGGCTTTCTCCAAATCGCCCTCCGCGAATGGTTGAAGCCTGGTCTTTCCATACAAGGCAGCCTACTTTATCAAGGACGAAGACCAGCAGGTAAGACAGAATAGCTCACCTGCCCTGGCGAATCGCCTGAGCCAGGGGCAGCTTCGGGTGAAAGTGGTCCAATGCATCGCCATTGTCAATAAAAACTTGCCTGACTGTCTTCAAGTCGAGAGCGAGGGGATGAAAAGGCTGGTTCAGTCTGGCTTGCTGCTGAAAACCCGTTCGTGGGCATCCTGCGTGTGTAGGAGGGACGTTTTCCGTGTTTGTAATTGGAGACACCAACCTAACCTAACGTACCTACCTGGGTAAGGTGGGTAGGTAGGCTGACCTGCCCCTGAATGCTGAACGCAGAGAGGAAGGGCCGGCGGGTTGCTTCCTTACTTACCTAAGCAGCCGCCAACCAGACTTGAACTGCTGGCAGAGGACGATGAACGCCGCCCTGAACGATCAACCTATTGCCAAGTGTGTTTCCTGGCGTCGCTACACCTCTGGTCAACTGTTCAAAGCAAATAGCTTTATCGTTCCCTCTGAGGTCTCGTCTCGGGTCACAGACACCCTGCAATCATCACCAAGTCTGCGCTGCGCCTGTTTCGTCGTGCCCAACCTAGCGAGGACCTAGCCCGCCGCCAGCGAGATCCAGTACTGCGTGTCTACCTTCCGAGTCTCTGCTATTCGCTCTGACCGAGGCCTTGCAAGGCTACAGTGGCCTGAAAAAGGTGTTTCGGCCCGGGTCCGATTCCCCAACGGGTTGCTCGGCTCGAACACCATTGTAGTATGTCAACTGTGTCTCGGCATAGGGATGTGCGTATGGCGATCGCCCAGGCGCGCTAGCATCCCAGCGTTGATCCAAAACATCCATCAAAAGATCATCAACGTCTCAGAAAGTCGAATTATTGCAATGCCTTGTCACACGCGCTGTGATGGGTGGGTGCCTCACGAAAGCTCGGTCATTATCATGCCACCGACGATAGTCGATGTCGCTTCGCTTCGCTATCATATCTGCCAAGATCTACATGTCCATACAGGATCGGTTCCCCGAAAGAGCTGGTCCTCCGCGCCTGATACGCCCGACAATGAGCCCAACTAGCCCGCGAAGGCGACGGCCCGCTTGTTGTTCTTCTTGCCAGCTCCACCAAAGAGGCCAGCAAGACCACCAGCGTTTTTCTTACCGCCGGCAGCAGCGTTGGTTTTCTTGCCACGGTGGTGGCGAGATACGAGCTCGATGTGCTCGCTATCAACGTCGCCGCGCTTGTTGTTGTTGTTGTTATTTTTCTTGCCGGCTCCAAAGAGGCCAGCAAGGCCGCCAGCGTTGTTCTTACCGCCGCCGGCAGCGTTGGTCTTCTTGCCACGATGGTGTCGAGCCTCAAGCGCGGCGTAGTCGACGACATCAACCTCATCACGCTTGTTGTTGTTGTTCTTCTTGCCGGCTCCAAACAGGCCGGCTAGACCGCCAGCGTTGTTCTTACCGCCGCCGGCAGCGTTGGTCTTCTTGCCACGATGGTGTCGAGCCTCAAGCGCGGCGTAGTCGGCGACATCAAATTCATCACGCTTGTTGTTGTTGTTGTTATTTTTCTTGCCGGCTCCACCAAAGAGGCCAGCAAGACCGCCAGCGTTGTTCTTACCGCCGCCGGCAGCGTTGGTCTTCTTGCCGCGATGGTGGCGGGCCTCCACGGCAACTGGCTCTTTAGCCTGGAAAGCTAGTCAGCTCCCGAGTTCAGAGTGTAGTCGGCTCGGAACTCACCTCGCGCTCCTCGACAGCCGTGGTCATAGCAAAAGCTGGCATAACCAGGGCAACGACGGGGGCCTGTACGATGTCAACGTCAGCAACGGCTACGCTTCCCACTTGTTCGAGACGGGTCGACGAACCATGCGCCTGGCAAGCTGGTTTGCTGGCGCACCAGTGCTGAGGGACTGGACACCAGTGGCGGCAAGAATAGCGGCCACAAAGACATGGCTAAAGGTGGGAGCGTGCATGATGATGAATCTGGCTTGGCTGGCCGGCAGCGAACGGCACACTGTAGAAAGTAAACGACAAGGAAGGAATGGAAGAAAAATCGCGTCGAGCGAGTGTGAGATACAGAGCCTCGATTGTGAATCTGGTGAGAAGGTTTGAGAGAGTTTATATTGCGGCCTGGTCGTGATTCAAAGGACGGGTGCGGCTGGGAGCCCCGTGGTCCTCCAGGCCTGTCTCTTACAGACGTCGTCGCTTGGCTCTGTACCTGAGCCAACTTGGACGAAGCTCAAGCCCTCGTGTCAGAAACGTTGCCTGTCAGTCGACTACTGGGTCCAGAGATGCCCCATTGTGTCAGCCGTGTGCCAAAAGGCCTCCAATCCAGCCGTTTTCCCGTCCTCAGGCCTCGTACGAAGGGCATCGAATCGCTGAGAATGTCCAATGTTGCGATCACGCTCGGCATGGGTCGCGCATCATGGGGCACGTCAGTCGGGGTTTCACGGATCAGACGGCGGACAATTTTACACCAGGAAGCGTTGTCGAGGTTTCGAGGCGTTGAGCCGCGAGGCCCCTCGTACGGATCAGTTGCCAAGACTTGACGATGGCCCGCGAGTGTGGCACGGGCAAGGTTTCGAAGGCCGAAAAGACAGGAACACGTGACCTCTGTATCGGGGATCACCACTGGGGTACTGGATCGCCGGCAAAGGCGCATCTGTTGTTGATCCCCCATGGTTTCCCTGTGGACTTTCTTGTGGGGGGTGAATCATACCCCCTGTTTCGCTCCCAACTCGGACACTGAAACACGACACCACTGCATCAGCATCTATAATGAAACTTCAAAACGGACTCCCCCGCAGCCGGGGACAGAAGCGCAGCACGCAAAGCATTGCCATCGGACTGCTGGCGATTGGACATGCAGCGTTCCTTTGACTCGCTTGAATCTCTCTTTTGGAGCTTGTCTCGCCTCGAATTGCCCTGCTGTGTCGTAATGCGCCGTCAGCAGTCGATCAAACTGCTAGGGGTGCCAATGTAGAACTGCAGCCCGGCGAATCATGGCTCTGGACGCTGGAGGGCGACAGCTATTTCCGGCCGGGCTGGGCCGCCGTGTCTAGCGCAGGCTCGCTACCGCTTCGCAGTGCTGCGGTGATGCCCTTGCTTTGCGGTGCACCAAACTAGACCGGGGGGGGTACACAGCACTCGTCTCATCTTGACTGAGTCTGAGCGATTCTGTCGGGAGCGAGCACCCCAGCCTTTGGCTGTGCCTAGCGAGACTTTTCAACTCTTCTCCGTTTCGTCTGCTTGTCGCTTCTCCAAAGCCTTTCTCTTTTGTCCCACGGGTTCACTTCTTTTCAGCACCTGGCGTGCCCTTATTTCCAAGCGTCTTTGTGCCATTTCGAAGCTGATCATCATGTCGAGCAGGACGTACGAGTCGAGAATTCCAGAGGAGGATGAAGAAAGCCTCACAGAGACTCTGGCAGAGAGCATGTCCGATGGAAAGCGGGAATGGAAGCGCATGAGCTGGTATGAAGAGCGGCCGCGAAGCTGGTTCAAGTCCATACAACAGAATTGGCAGTGGCTGGCCCACGGCGTACTCTTATCCATGTCGCTGGTATCACTGGTGCAGGCGTACCGAATTCGCCATGCTGATCAAGATGTCTTTTTCACCAAGAAGTATTCTTCCTATTGTGAGTCGTGCAGGAGGAGACGTATCGGACCTGCGCCTTTTCTGACCACTCGAAGCTCCTGCCGCGGAAGTCGTCAACTACCACACGGAGCGGTACAACCTCACACCCATCATGGACTGGTCTCCCTATGTCGGATACGGCAAGGAAGTCGACCGGGCGTGGGATCACATAACCAACAATGGTATGCAACCCCAATGCTCTTTGAGGGTCGAGCTTTGTTGCTGACGGATCGCAGTGGGCGACCAGATGATCTCGCAGGTTCAGCTAGAACGTCTCGGCCTCGACCCATCGTCCATCAAGTGGAAACATCCCACTACTGGCGAGGAGGGCTACCGTGTGGGCATCGAGGTCTTCCACCAACTACACTGCCTGAATCTCCTTCGTATGGCCACGTGGAGCGAATACTACTCACAGGAGGAGGTCGGTGGTGACGTTGCCACTGATCCGGAGGACCTTCGTGGGCATGTCGGTAAGTCCCAACGGCGACGCTATCTCGGCAAGAAATGGCCCAGGCTGACTTGACATTAGACCACTGCCTGGAGGCATTGAGGCTCAATTTGATGTGCCAGAGTGACATTGGCATCTTCACGTTCAAAAACTATCCGGATTTGCCAGTGGAAGGCCACTGGCCAGACTTCAGCACGTTGCATGTCTGCCGTAACTTTGACGACATCAGGAATTGGGCCATGGTCAACTCGGTCACCTTTGAAGATGAGGAGTAGATAGAAGCTAGAAGTAATATGCCGACCGCACATAGTAACATGATGATGAGCCACGCATTCGACGAAACAGTTTCATCTCGTGAAAGTTTGGCTCATATTTCAGGAAAGCAAGCTACCTTACGTCAAAAAGAGTCACTGAAACTCTCTCGCGAGGTTACACTGAATCTCGATATGTCAGGCGCCAGGCAGATCTTTCTTCCAGCTCCTCATCTCGTTGAAGCCGTGCCGCCTTGCAGCTATAGCTATCCGATACCTTAATCGGCCAATCTCAGGCCAATTGAACCAATCAAACTGCCTTCTCTGCCGTGTTCGCATGCGTCTTTTCAGCCTCCGACCCGAGGGTAGAAATTCCAAGCACCTGGTCTGACATGGATGATTTACCCGAACCAAGGCTCTCGATTCTCTGTCGCGTATTTCCTTCGGCGTTCAAGTCCTCGCCACTCTCGCCCACGCAGTGAGCAGAAATACTTGGCCTGTATCCGCTGTGGCTGCCCAAAAGATACCACGCGTACAGGGTCGTCGAAATCGACACGACTAGGAAAGAGAATATCGTCCAGTTTCCTATGCTGTACATTGGAGCTGACCAGGCGGGGAACAGAAATGGCGCCGAGATGCCGGCGCAGTTGGAAATGGCGACCATACCGCCTGTCGCAACCGCGGTTGCCGTAGAGCCCTTGACAGTAGCCGTTCGATGCTGGGGTACTCGTCAGTCATCTGAGGGCCTGACGCAAACAAGAAAGCACGCTTACCGCAATGAATGGCAGAACAGCAGCGTTAGTACAGGCGATGATACACACAGCCGCATACCGTACAGCCCAGTTCTTGACTGACGCCAGTACCAAGTATCCAGTAGCCACGAACACCAGGGCACACACTATATGTCTGGACCGCTCTTGGGTTCTGTCACTGTGAATGCAAGCTCCGACAACCACCAAGAGCGCGAACAGATTGGGAGGCACGGTCATGAGCTGGCCTGCGCTCCCGGAAAATCCCAAATTCGCCACGATCGATGGAGCGAAGTACCCAAAGGCGTTGAGCGCGTTCGTCATGAGAAAGTACTGTATAGAGTAGAGCCAGAACACAGGATCGATCAGAGCTTTTTTGGCCGTCTCGCGGTCCCAGGTGGTGTCGCCCATTGTAGGCGCGCATGGACCGAGACGCTGAACGGCGAATGTCCTCTCCTCGGGCGTCAGCCATGACGCTGTCTGGGGATAGTCTGGCAACAAGAACCAGGCGGCTAGTCCGACGAGAACGCCAGGTGTGCCTTCCAGAATGAATAGCCACTGCCAGCCGGACAAGCTGCCGAAGCCATTCAGGAAAGAAATACCAGAAGCGATGAGTCCTCCGAAAGCGCAGGCTAGGGCCACGCTCGAGGCAAAGATGGCCATTCGGGTCGCCCGTTCTTCCGGCTTGTACCAGAAGCAAAGATGCATCATGACTGCAGAAGAGAAGCCCGCTTCCGCGGCCCCCGAGAAGAACCGGGCCAGCAATAGCGTCGAGAAGTTGGAGACGGCCGATGTGCTCATGGCTACCAGTCCGACTGAGATGACGATTCGAGCGATCCACTTGCTCGGCGAGAAGTGCCTCATTAGCAGAGTGCCTGGAAACTCGAAGATGACATAGGGTACGAAGAAAACAGCAATCACGATGCTGTACCGCGATCCTGAAAGTTCCAGCTGTTTGAGAATGTTGTCCTCCGGTCGGTTGTCATTCAGAGTCCGAGCATTTCCCAGGCTGATACGATTAAGGTAGCCTGGGACTGTTAGCAAGACTTAAACCAATGATCCCCCGGAACAAGACTGACAGAGGAGATATGTTATACACATCCACGGGAGCAGATACATGTCTTGTTTCCTGATGACCCGTTTCTCCAGTTCTCTATCATTCAGATCAACCTTGTCGACATCGGCCATCTCGAGTGCTGGCTGCGCCGAAATATACGGAGCGATCTGTGTCCAGAGACCCATGATGGCAGGTCTGGCAAAATATTCAACCAAGGCCGGCAGATGAATGTTATCAGTGGCGAAAGGGCATCGACTTGTTTGTTGTCTGGAGGTCTTCAAGCTTCGACATAAAAAAATACGCGACAGCCAAATGGCCCGAATACAGACTCAAAGTCTGCAGAAGCCATAACAGTATATATATGGTGTTTACGAGAATCGGGACATAGAGGTATGTTTGTCTTGCTTGTGATGAGCCATGCGATTCTGGCATGGGAGCACTACCTGCCATCAGCAGCCACCTGTGTGGCGTGTTGAAGGTTCCACGGCACAGATCTGACAGTTATGTCACACCTGTGTTGATATCGCTCTTGACATGGAGTGTTCTGCCCTTCGTGACCATGCTGTGCTGATGCAGCAACAGAGTTTTGAGTCGTTCATGCTCCTAATCTACGACAGTCTCAAACCATAAGAAGCAACTCGTGACAGACTGAGAAATCGTGGGCGTCGCGATGCAATTTTCGAACGGTCAAAATGCGAGAGCTGAGCAGAGACCTTGGTGAACTTCTCTGCCGCGTGGTGGCTTGAGGCTTCCATGAGGGTCCTTGAGATAAACTTCATGGCACAATTTCTCCATAATCAGCCATCGCTAGACCTCAATGGCCATCTGGGGGTAAAAAAGCTTTGCCGAGTGGGATCACATGTTCCTCGCTTGCACCCTACACTTGATTTAAATGAGCCATCATCACATGGACAGAGTCTGTCTTGGACAGTCGTCAAGGCTCATGTCATCGAGTCTATGGCATCGCCATGCTGCCTACGAGCCATGATTGGTGTCGTAATCACCACCTTGTTGTGAAGTATCCAAACCGCTAGCGTAATGTTTGTTCTCACTAGTTCGACATGAGGCTTTGAGGATTTGTTCAATTGGCCGCTTCTATCTGAACAACAACAACAACAACATCAACCAGAAGAATTTACAGCCAACGGACCAGAACCAACGTGAAAACTCCGATCGCAACTAGCGAGCCTGCCACTAGTATCTTAGATGTGGCTGCAGCACGGCTGAGAGTTACGAGATTTTCCTGGCCTTCAATTTTGGTGGAAGAGGCGGACGGAAGGGAGTTCCACCGCTGTGCTGGTCTGATTGTGACCTGCATGAACTTTGGTGTCGCTATTTGTTGACTTTTCAATCCGTCAATCAACATGTAGTAGTAGAGAATGGCGGGTGGAAGTAGCAAACATCATTCATGGTGAGCACAGCGAAGATATCGTAGGCTGTCAGTGCTCCCGCCAAAAAAGGGACGGTTGACGGCTCGAATAGAAGGTAGCGGAAGCTGAGGAGGAGACATATTCGGTGTTGGACGTTTGATCTTGGTTTGGAGACAATATGACAACTTTTTTTCATCAACAAACAACAGTAATGGCCGCTTGCTACAATCATGATGGTAAAGAAGCGGTTGAATTCCTACGCAACTTCGCGTCAAGCCTATTGCAAGTTTGCATTGTTGGACAACCAACAAAGGTGCAACACTGGTATCTTCTTAGTTGTCTCTAAAAGACAAGATTTTGAATTTAGTAAGAAGAGCAAACATTTTTTTTCATTTCATGCCAAGAAGCATCCAACAGAACCACTGTACACCAGCTTCATTGAAGCACCTCGGTGCGTCTATAAGAGAGAGAAGACGGTCGTAGGATCCCATTCCAAAGTGGCATTTCCCAGGATAGCTACAACCCAACTAGGACTTGGACCAAGAACCACTTGACTTTAAAGATCCCCGATTGACATGAGCGCCATGGCAACCACTGTGTCCAGCACCACTCCCCCATCGACTCCCCCTACCATTGCCCCTTGCCTGGAGCACACCTACTTCTTCTACGGCTCTCTCATGGACCCTGTCATTCTTGGAATTGTTACGGGCACCAATCGCCCTGTTATCCTTTATGATGCCACCTTACGAGGCTACACTGCGAAGCTGTGGAGCATGTACCCGGCAATCGTTCCGGACCCCAACGGGGTCGTCCAGGGCAAGGTCTGGATCGACGAGGCGGCGAACCCCGGTACGGTGGCGCGGCTGCAGGCCTATGAGACGAACAACTACGAGGCGCGGGACTGCACCTTTTCGAGCCCCGACGAGGACAAGATTGGCAAAAGTGGACGGGTTTTCGTATTTGTCGGGAACCAGGAACAGCTGCGGGATGGAAAGTTTGATCTGGAGGCGTTCCAGAAGAGTTACGAGCTTGAGGACTGAGATTTCCGGTAAACGGAGAAGTGAGGCACTCGAATGCTATGCGGAATTGAATACGCTCCGTTGCTGCTGATTCAGGTCACCCTGTCGTGGCAATGAGTGGCGCTAGAACCTCTCGATTAATTTCAAATAAGTTACTCACAGCTGAAAATACTCAAGGTGAAGCCTAGCAAACTAGGCAGTCTTCGGATGTTATGCAAGGCAGACCTAATGGCTATGAAAATTGCCGACCATGCAGAGTCTTGAACCCACCACTTTAAGCTGGTGCCTGTAAATCTACACTGTAACAGGAACCCCCAGTGATGGGATACGACTGGAGGCTGCCTAGGCCACGGTTACGCCTCCAAGTGCCGCGCCCCCCTCTCCGCCGGCGGAGGTGACGAACATGCCGCGTGCTCTACTTCGTATTTCGCAGCGGTTGATGACCGAGAAAATGAGATGTTTGAAAGCTTCGCGCCCCGCACAGGAGCACGTCCTGTGCCGCTCGTTCGCTCGTGCCATCAGCCCAAACCATCATGAGTGATCTACATGGCGCAGATGCTAGCGCTCGCGGCTCGGGGCCTGCCAGGGCAATTGGCGACGAGCTATCAACGACATGCCCAACGGCATCTACTCCACGACTCCGAGAGCCGCAAGAACCACACACGGATCCTGGGGACAGCGCTAGCGGCAAGTTACCACGGCAACTCACAGACTATACTTCTCGGGTCACTGACTCGAACCTCGAGACGCCATCCTTTCCATTTCACGTGTTCCTTTACGGGCCCCTGATGGATACAGATGTGCTGCAAGCTGTTGTCGGCATCGCGCGCAGGCCAACACTCCATTCCGGGTACATTCAAGGATGGCGGGTACGGATGTACGATACGCACCCTGCAATCGTACCGCAGACGACGCTTGGACAAGGAGGGGACGATGTGGTGGCTGGCGTGGTGTGGGAGTGCCGTTCGCCGAAACAGCTCGCGCGGCTGCGGGAGTACGAGACCGAAGCCTACACGTTGTGCTCCTGCGAGGTTATCTTGGAAGGCGAAAGGACGGCACTGAAGAACAGCAAAGTGTTCTGCTGGGCCGGCCATTCGGACAGTGAGGAGTTGACAGATGGGTGGTTCGATCTGGGTTGGTATAGGGAGCACATGAAGCCTGCGTTTGTGTGCGATTAGACACATGCGACATGTCGACCACACGTGGCCGAGCCATGGATGTGCCAGTCTGTGATTGTCATCTTGACCGATGTGATATCCGTGAGACAAGTAATGCAATCAGGTCTCGATGCGATGCGGATCTCCTACTCTTCGAGGCCGTGTTGGCGTCACAATCACAGCTGTATCAGTAGTGGCGCTGAAACTGGTTCCATGTGAAGACCGACATTCGAATGAATGACTGGGAGAGTCCAGCAAAAGAGAAAAGCTGGAAACATCGCTGCTGCATTGATCCATCAAGGACAGCTGTTGGCTAAGGCAGATGTCCATTCTGGACAAGAGCTACTTCCCAGCTCAGGCGACCATCTCAACTACCGGTTAGAGCACAAGAGGCAAGGATCGAATAGACAGACGCTATTCCTTCTTGCTGTTTTTTGTCTTTTTCTTTTTTGTTTTTTTGCGGAAGTTGCTATTGCTGCAAGGTACAAAGAGGACTGGTGTTGGGAGAGGCGCGTCTAGGCAGTGAGCTCCATTATCGATAACGATAAGTCAGACGTCCGGACCCACTTGGTTGGCCTGCCGTGGTGGGGTAACGACGATGAAGCTCACCACAGCTTCAACTTCGCCTCCTCCCAACTTGGGCGAAGCAGCAGACGAACGCCTTGCGTCTGCACCCAACGCGCCAGAAGTCAAGATGGCGTCCAAAGCAACGCCGCCCCTGGCGTGCTGGGGTATGTATCTCGACCTTTCTGCCGAACCTCCTGCTGCCCTGCATACATCCTGGTGACCAAGCTGACCTCTCCATAGAGCTCGATAACAATATTGAACTCGTCGACCCCAAGCGAGATGCCCTGTATGCATTTGACGAAGCTGCAAATAAGGAGGCCATGTCTTCTCGCGCTTGGGCGCAGAATCCACAACATTTCAAGCGTGTCCGCATCAGCGCGACCGCCCTCATTAAGATGGTCATGCATGCCCGCTCCGGCGGGTCCCTCGAGATCATGGGCCTCATGCAGGGCTACATCAACGGCGACGCCTTTATCGTCACAGACGCTTTCCGACTGCCCGTAGAAGGCACCGAGACACGTGTCAACGCCCACGCAGATGCTGACGAATACATGGTCGAGTACACCGACGCCTGCCGCCGACAGGGCCGCATGGAAAACGTAGTCGGCTGGTACCACTCGCACCCAGGCTACGGCTGCTGGCTGTCAGGCATCGACGTCATGACCCAGACAACGCATCAGCAATTCCAGGACCCCTTCTTGGCCGTCGTTATTGACCCTGACCGCACCATCAGCGCCGGCAAGGTCGAGATAGGCGCCTTCCGCACCTTCCCGCACCCGCCTTCTGGTATGGCGCCCGGAAAGGAATCCACCGACGACAGCGGTGGCAGCGGCGCCACGACCTCTGACGGTTTCCAAGCCGTTCCGCTCGCCAAAGCCGCCGAATTCGGCGCCCATGCGAGCAAGTACTATAGCCTTGAAATTTCCCACTACAAAAGCACTCTCGACACGCATCTCCTCGAGCTGCTGTGGCACAAGTACTGGGTGCAGACGCTCAGCCAAAGCCCCCTCTTCACGAACCGCGACTATGGAAACAAGCAGATGCTCGACCTGGCCTCCAAGATTGGCGAGGCGACAACGCAGCTCTCACGCCAGAGCCGCATCGCGCAGGGCGGCGCGGCGACGATGAACCTAGGTGGCACACCGGGGTCGAGCAAGCGTGTCGATGTCGCGATGGAGAAGCTCGTCAGGGACTGCAGCTCGGTATCTTCGCAGGAACGGACGGGGCTCATGGCGGGCGAGGTTAAAGAGAAGCTGTTCAACGGACTCGGCACATCGTCGTCGACCGGTGCTGATGCCGGTGCGACTGGTGTCGACTCTCATTGAGCACAATGTGGGGCCTGCTTTGCTTGTGATGAAGACCAGGGTTTTGCGCTAGAACAAAACGCTGGCAGCATGGTCTGGCGTTGGGGAAAACACACGGTATGAATGACGAGACTTAGATAAAAGATTCTCATGCTATTGCTGTTCCTGCGCCTATTCTTGGTGCTACTGAAGCTAGCTGGGCAGGTAATTCTGCCCAGTGATGTCTTCGCCAGGTCGAGGCCTCGAACTACGTGCCGAAAAGCCGCACGGCAGTGACAGAAACCCCAGGACTGCGTTGAGATCAGTGTCGTGAAGTCTATTGACATGCAGCATTATTACTTCGTCTATCGATCTCTGTGGTCGATGGTCCCATGACGTTCCTTAACGTGCAGCCTCAAGAGATTCCACTGGTCGGTCCAAGGCAACAACGGCACGACATCGACGTGTTCAATTGGCTAACATCAGGCACTGCTCAGCTCGATGCCTTTACCTTGCCTACCCGGGGATGGTTGTGCGGTTGGGCCCATTCGCGCCAGGAAACACGCGAACCAGCCTCGCCACGGTCTGGACCTGAGTCCGACCCCGCGGACGTCATAGTCTGCTGACCAGCATGGAAGGCTCCATCAACAACATTCTGGATGCGTCTATTGCACAAGACATCGTGGGTGCCCATACTGAATCATGACCACGAGCGGATGCACTGCGTCAAAGTGCATGGGGCCTTGAGCATTGCGTCGGAAGCATGATATGACGACAGTGCGCATGAATTGCTGTTCCCAGTCCTCACGATGGCCGTCAGCGCTGGTGCTAATGCTGGATGAAGGTCCCTCTCCATGGGACGAATCTCACAGATCCACACAACTAGTACCCGCAAAATCGAACCCACCTCCACCTGAATCGCAGCCTGGGAAGAGACTCAACTGAGTTGATGACGCAGTCGAAGGCCACGACGTCGTACACCCCAGGACAGCCGGGGGACGAGCGAATCAAGGCAGGTGGATAAGAGGTTGCGAAAAGAGGGCACCTGCATCAAAGAGGGTGGGATGGACGAAGATACATTCACTACGCAAGACAGCACTTTTATTGACCCGGCTGGCGAAGCGCTACTCTATTCGAGTGAGGCGGGGAGGGGCGTCTTGTAATCGGCGCATGGGGAAGTGATCATCACCGGGCAAAAGGGAAGCACCACATGTTTATTTACAGTCGTTGAGAACTTGAGACAAGCAGTTCCGCGAGGCAGACGAACGATGGTTCGACCTGATCGGGCGTGACATCGAGATCCCATCAGTGGTGCCGCGAGCTTGGATTTGTTTCGACGCTGAATGACGAAGGGTGTGCAGAACTGATTGCCATTTGCTGGAAACGGGCTGGGCGCCCGTGTCGTTCGTGTGCCCTGACTGGTAGAATGAGGGTGGCATTGGAGTTGTGGCCCTGACCATCCTTACCAGATCGCTAGCCAACTAGTTTGGGTGTTGAGGGGCAGGCCCAAGATTCCAATGTCAATCAACTGACGGCTGTTGATGATCTCGGCCCTCTTCATTACTTGCAGGGTGTGGCCCCCTCAAATACGTTGGCTTCGATTCGGCAGCAGGAGAAGGGTTGGTGGTGTGGTCAGTGGATTGATCCAGGTCGACCAAGGCGGCGATGGGCAGCCTCTGAGGGAAGACTAGTTAGAAGGGTAAAATGAATTCCATATTCTCAGCTCCAGGTACCGTTGGCGACGGCGTTGGAAAGGCGGATGAGGTAACTTCCCTTGCGTGCCTCTTGACTGGTGCAAGTACAGCTAGGTGCAATTCTTTCTCCTTCTTGTTCAGCCGCCTCTGTGACAGCGACCGAGCGTTATTTGGGTTTGGACTTTTGTGCTCGTCGCTTCAGCTTGGCGTTGGGAGGGTCGAATCGCCCTCCCCCACCCACGATGCCATCTACCTACTGCTGAGCGTGAGA